AATAATAGTATATTGTGCAATACCAGTATTATTGTGTGTTCACCTTCTACTTTGGCGCATTTGCATTGGAATCGATGGATGTATGATACATCCATCCACGGCGATTCCTCAGGTTTCTTGATACAATCCAGCGTCAGGTAATGGCGAACTCTTATCAACCTTGCCCACTCCCAGCGGCGCCGCTCGGCAGCAATCTTTCGTCGTAGATCTTCTACAGCCGCAGAGGCTCGGCTTCTCGTCTTCAGCACAGTGTAGAACGCTAACACCGCAGAAACATCTGTGTAATCCATAGTACGTTGTAAGTGGGTCGCTAGACGTTCTTTGTTTCCAAGATGGGAGTTTTGTTGCCAAGTGCACAACTGCAGAAGGATACGTGTACCTGTGTAGCAGTTGCAACTAAGAGGGAGCACAAGATTTCGAATCCTCGATATCTTTAAATATAGATATCTCTTCGACAAATGTTGTCCTTCAGAGATTGTCGCAGTCATCTAAAGCATAATGAATCAAAGTAGATTACGTTGTGTGAGACAAATTACACCGGTCGCAGTTTAATTTTTATAGTAGTTTCGGTGGTCGTTTTTCTTGTTTCAGTCTGGTGATGCTTTTTATCGGGTGCTTGAGGTGTCTAAATTTGTGATAAAAAAAATTGGACAAAATCAGAAGACGGTTATGGAAGGCGCCCATTGGCTACATGTACGATTCGACCATTTCGTCTCTTCCAGCCCGTTAAGTGCAGAGCGACAGCATGACTTTGTGTATTACAACAGAACATGTCGTAACGAATTTTTACGAATAGAAGACCTCCGTCAAATGTTCGATGTTGTTCTAGAATTACAATACCTCCACTCAAGCGCTCAACCAAAACCATTTCAAGGACAACTTACCAGTCCTGATCGACATTCGGAAGCGCTCGGACGCTGTGGAGTATACTCTCTCTCCTGTCTCCTGTAGCTACGGCAGGTGGGGTACTGGATTTTGGAAAGACCGACACAGAATTTATTGTACTGTTACCAGTACATACTAAGTGCGGTTGAACTTAGTTTTTTGAAATTATTGTGTAGTAAATTGCGATTTCGAATCTATCTAGACTCGCTCTACAACTCGTTGACTGCGGCGCGTTGGCTGTTTGGGACGCCTTCTTCCTCTTGTTGGCTGGTACAGCCATACGAAGTCAATTGTCTCCAGTTTAATGTGGTGTAGTGATTTCTAAGTAATCGCTGAAGTGGCTACATTCAAGTTGCTCAAGCCACGAACTCTCGGTCATGCGACAGGGGGTGACCACGGCGCAAGATGGACAAGGAT